AAAAAAAAAATGGAACAAGGTTCCTAAACATTCCTCACCTGCTTGTAGATGTGCTTATCTCACTATTTCTGAAGGAAAATTGATAAAATTTAGCCATTATTTCAGATCCTGACAAGAGCATTAGTAATCAATCACACTTTCATTTTCACACCACTCATTTTTAGTGTCTCTTTTGGAAAAGTTGCAGCAACACTTTTGTTGAACTGAGTATCTCTACCCTGCAATTTTAATTTAGAAAAGATACAGAAAAAAATATTCCCAAATATGGAAGGTTAGAACAGTAACTTTCCTTGGTTTTTTTTTCTCAAATCCAGAACTTATCATTAATCCTCCAGTTACAACAAACATTCCCCATTTAAATGTCATTTAAAAGGCCTATATTTTCTTTTCTTTCATTCTTCAATCACTGGGTATAAAAGTGAGCAAGAGCTGTTGATTTTTTTTAAAAAACAGTTGACTTCATGAATGCGTGTTGCACTGAACGGTAAAAAGAATAGCTCGATCCTAATGTTTATATCATTTTGTTTTTTAGAATGAGAAGTTCAGATTTTGTTTTTCGTTGCTCTTTTTCATGTCTACCCATTTGCTTTTCAAAATACAGCAACACAAAAATATAGCGGCAGAACACGGATAAACATGATTCAACCCTATTAGTTGATGAGCAGCAGTCAAAACGATACCAAGAGAGTCTACAGGCACTGGATATAATTTCATTAAATATTCCTAATATGGGAAAATGAAAGATTCCCATATAGGGAATGTGAACGTGCTCACCTCTTCCAGGATTTCAAACAAGCTTCCTTTCCACCAAGGAACACACCCTTTCAGAACGAAATCCACCATCTTTGAGTTTCTGAACATTTCTCCCAAACACTTCACCATCTTGTCAATAGCATCCACAGCTGTCTCCACCTTCTCCATTTTTTCCTGGTACCTGGAAGCATCATGACACGTGGCTTTCACCAGGTTCAAAATCTCGGTGTACGTATTCTGAGTTTCCACCTGCTGGACATCATCTTCGCTGCGATGAATTCCACAGATTGGGTCCACAGGAGAGTGCGATGCGCTTAGCTGATGGAGGCCTTTTCCCAAATCATCAATGCCTTCGTTAACTTTCTGGATTTTTTCGGTCAAGTCTTCTTGGAAATGTAACAGCTTGTCTACCTTTTCGTTGAGAAGGTTGAGTTTTTTGTCCATTGTGTTTACACGGCTGCCTTTGGTCACCTGAGGCCTATTTATAAACGCTTCTTAAGACCTCAGGGCCCTTTCAGACATTCCAATGGGAAGAGATTAAATGGGCTGGCACTTTACTTGCTGAAATTAAAGGGCAGTGCTTGGAAATTATATCGGCCTTTGGGATGAAACTAAAATTCTAGAACCTGCTAAGAACATGTCATCTATTAGCTGCTATGTAACCCACTCTTGTTTCGTATTATCTGTTTTCTTCTTACATGCATGCAGTGATGAGGTTGGTGACAACTTGGCAGTGTCGAATTTCTTAGGGAGGGGTCGTCGGAAGAACGGCAGTGTTTTGGTAAATTTTAAGAAGGGAATTCTCCGACAACTATTGGTTCGTAGAATTCTTACCCGTCGTCGACTTATCAGCTCTAAGCAGGGCTCCTCTCCTTTCAATCTTAAAACATAGCCTAAAAAGACTACCACGTTCTTTTGTCGAATATTTCACTAAATTTTCAAAGGAAGGGGAGAAAAGGGGAAAACTGAAAGGGGAATTGAAGCAAAGTTAAATTCTCCCCCAATTTTAAAAAAAAAATAGGGTGTTATTGTCAAATACAAAATGTACACACGTTGGCCAACACCGCATACTGGCCGTGGTTAAAATTGGCTGGCAGTCAGGACGTTAAAAATAGGACGTTAACGACAATGATACAAAGCACACACATCTCACGCCAGCATGCCTTTCAAAGCAGAAACAACTCAAGTCAAATTCTTTCGGTTGTGCCAAGAGAGTCCTCCGGCCTTTTTTTTATTTTTTAAGAAATGGCAGATCAAAATTGTTTTTTATAATTAATAGCAAAATCATTAGTCTTACAGGCTACTCCTCTCCCCGCCCAAAAAAATTCTTCTGTTCAAATTTGCATTTTCCCACCAGGGATCTTTTAGTGGGATTTAACATGAATAACATTCCTTAGGATAATCCAAAGTTTTGCCTACTTTTTCTATATTCACACAAATGAAGGCTACTGCAGGAGTTGTTTGAATGGTATTTTTCCCCCCCACAATATCCAGATTTTCACAGTGTGGAAATTAAGGCACATGGTCTCCAGAAACAGACAATATTTTCCCCCAACAATATCCAGATTTTCACAATGTGGAAATCAAGGCACATGGTCTCCAGAAGCAGATGATATTTTTCCCCACAATGTCCAGATTTTTACCATATGGAAATTAAGGCACATGGTCTCCAGAAGCAGGGTCCAAATACAATTGTTTGTTATTCTTTGGTCAGTTGAATGAATATATCAATGAATATCCAGAAGAGCCTCTTGTTTTCCACTGAGCTCCCATTCCAGAATCTGTATTTCAATCTCCAGGGAAGGTAGTCCAGCTTATAACTGAAGTCACAAGTCTCAACGCAACCTCTGAATCAATCAAGTCCAATCTGTACTGGATCTCTAGCATCACGTTGTATGGCAGATTTGGCATTTTAATAACTGTTATTTTGATTTATTTATTTGCCCCTCTGGGCACCTTCAGGAAGCAGAGTGGGATCAAATAAATATAGATAGTGAAGCAGGTCCCCATCCTTATGTCGTTGTCTCTATGCGTAATGGTATGTAAGAATACCTTGGGAGACAGGAGGGAGAACTACAGACTGGATAACCTGTATGGAAAAGATATCTCATACCATAGAAAAAGGGAGGGTGTGGAAAAGATTTTAGAAGGAACCCTCTCTATGACATACTGGGAGTTGTGATCCAACAAGTTTAGGAGAGCTAACTCAAAGATGCTTTTACAAAAGGCAACTGGACTGGTTTTTTTCCTTGAGGAGGAAGAAAAATTTTTTTTGCTTTTCATCCAAGAAGCTTCAACATTCTAAAAGAAGGAGAAAGAAGAAAGCAAACTACTACTACTACTACTACTACTACTACTACTACTACTTCTTCTTCTTCTTCTTCTTCTTCTTCTTCTTCTTCTTCTTCTTCTTCTTCAGCTGTTGTTCACTACTCTGATGGGATTGAACATGCTCATAGCTCATTTTTGATCACTATGTGCATAAACAACCTATGTTGTTTTCCTTGGGGAAATGTGATTAACTTTTCATGCACCAAGTTCTCACAACAGGAGGAATTTGCAACAATAGGTTTGCAGCACAGCATGTTCTTACCACTCAAGCTAAAATAGCTATGATTAGCAACCCCCTATATCAGCAATGGCACCTGGTCCTGCCCCAGCTGTTATCTTGGCATAGTTTATCCAGGGCCCCACATTCCCTCTGTCCCTCTTTCTTCCCAGCTAGTCTACAGGCGACAAATCAACAACTTCCTCACCTTAACTCATCCAAACGCTTGTCCTTCAACATCACCACCACTACTCTTCTTACTAAGAGAAGGACTAGCTGCCCAAGTGGACTTTTAAAGCAAGATTCCTTTGACACCTACATTCTAATTTCAGCTTGGCACATTCATCTGCCAGCTCACTGTGACATTTGCATTTGACGTCATTCACATGTACAAGAATAATTGGGTATCAGCAATCTGATCACAACAGCTAACCGGGTAAGAGAAGCAGATGGAGCCTCAGTTTACCCGCTGTTCGCCAGGTAACATTTTAGGACTGTTGAATTACTTAGGTGCATCTACTGATTTATCAGAATTATTATATCTTCCCTGCCCAGCAAGCCAACTCCAGTGGGTCAGTAGGAAAAAAATAACAAATGACTAGCTCACTCTTTGCTCCGAAATCTTGGAAGCCCTGTTGGTTGGGAACACAATAGAAGACCCGGCTGTTTGAATCTGAAGCTTTGTGGAGCCCACATTTTGTAACCAAGGGCCTCATGAAGTCAGAGTTGCTTGTAACAGTTAAAATACTCTACACAGTCAACGTAGGGGAGTGGAGCTGAGACCAAAGTAGGGGAGTGGAGCTGAGACCAACAATAATGGGGTTTTTTTAAAAAAAAAAACAAACATCTAGGCCTTCCCAACCTGAGATGAGGTCTTAGTCAACAACGTCTTCATTCAGAATGCCGCTTTCTAGCCACTATTTCACACCAAAAGATTATCTTGAGTGAAGATCCTTAATTAAGTTCCGTGCTTACTTCAACCCACGATATTTTGCCACATGGATGTATGAGCGCTGTGGACAACTATACTCAAAATCATCTGGTTTGGAAAAGATGGCAACATGAAAAGGTCACTGTTAGCATTCTCTACCAGCTTCGTTAATTTTGTGCTACATAATGTGTTGGAAGCCACAGTCTGGTGAAGATGCCGTGAGGAAGGGCTGGCCGCAGGACATCTGTATTCCATGTTTCTGCTTATGTGTCCCGACAGAGTTTACATTACCATGCTTAATTTTCTGCTGTAATACTAATAGCCTACTTATTTTCTGAGTGCCAGCTCTTAGATACTTAAAGGATGCCATCTATATGGAAAGAGAAGGAATTAGAGGGCTTAGGATGGTGAAGACCATTTTTAAGAGACGCACAGTGAGGAGAAAAATAGGGGGGGGGAAATGAAAGGAAGGAGAATGCCATAAAAACAGCCCCCTGAAGCCTAAGCATACGCAGTGAGTATATGCAATGATAAGAAGCCGAAGAGACAGAAATCAGATACTGCAGAGAAGGGAAACGAACGGAGAATTCTAAAAAAGTATCCAGCTGGTTATATTCCTAAAGAAGAAAGTAGTGCTTGGTTATATGCACAAAGGAAGAGGAGACCAGGACACCAGAATTTTGCCAAAAAAGCTATTTTTAGAATGAAATGCCCGGGGAGCAAAATAACTGGAACGCCCCCATCCAAGCTAAAAGATTGCCAACTAGGATACAAGATCTAGTCAGCCGTTTGCAAAGTTACACTAAAATTTAACCTAAGCCAGGAAACACTGTATAAGAAAAGAAAATACGGGCATTGCTATACTGGTTAATATTTAGAGAAAGACTAGCGGCATCACCACCATAATGTGTGTGTGTGTGTGTGCCCATGTATATCTGTTTGTGTGTCTGCATATAAAGGCAGAGATATATGCAATCTTCCATGGAGAGCACTGTTCAGGACTTCATTCCTGATTTTTCTTTTCTTTTCTTTTTTAATGATCAGATTCCTTTCTTTCCTGACTCCCCACTCTTTCCACCACCACCACCACCACCACTTTTTTCCTTCTTTTAAACTAATATATTCAGGCTAAACAGCTCAGAGAAAAAGACCAATGAAGTTGTATTTAGGTTTCCAAGAATGCGAGAAGGAAGTGACAGCGTATGATTCGAAAGAATGTTAAACCCTTGGAAAAAACTGCATCTTCAAAACGAAAAACACGACCTGGGACTTTGCTTTTATGCCAAAGGGAGTCATAGTCACACATTACTGAGATGTAATTAGTAGAGTAGAGTAGAGTAGAGTAGAGTAGAGTAGAGTAGAGTAGAGTAGAGTAAAGTAGAGTAGAAAATAGAATAGAAAATAGAATAGAAAATAGAATAGAGTAGAATAGAAAATAGAATAGAAAATAGAATAGAAAATAGAATAGAGTAAGGTAGAGCAGAGCAGAACAGAATAGAAAGGGACCTTGGAGGTCTTCTAGTCCAGCCCCCCACCCAAGCAGGAGAACCTATACTATCTCAGAGAAGTGACTGTCTAGCTTCTTTTTAAAAATCTCCACTGATGGAGCACCCACGATTTCTTAGATGTAGATATAATGAAGCTTTGTTTGGAAATTAACAAACAAAGAAGGAATGGTTGCATGCCTTCACAGTTCATCGAAATAGATATTACAAGAGCCTGGAAAGATTTTTATTCTCTATCATTTTTGAATGGTTAAAAGAAAAAATCTGTTTCAAAGATGTCTACCTCAAGCTTCATTTGGAGAGCTACTTAGAAATGTGGACCACATACAATGATCTATATATTAAGGTTGCCTTTGCTTTTTAAACATATCACATTACACGAATCTCTCCTTAGGATTAGTGTGATGTTAAGCATGTCAGCTACAAAAGTCCACAAGACGTTCTGTTTCTTAATATAACT